CTCTGCGTAGTAGACTTGTTGAGGAACAACTTTGTCCGTCATCAGGCCTACTATGCTAACGGAGAGGGGCTTTGTGTATTTTTGTTACCCTGGCCCGGAGGTTTTCTCCTCCAGGCTTCGACACCTAAGGTTTGGTTGCTTGATTTACATAGGCCTGTAATGTTTAAGTTCACTCACTTTTCCAACACTTTGAACCCTTACTGTTAAATTTGCCAAGTTAAACACATTTGAGTTCAATTTTCCCACCAAAAAAACTATCATCTTAGTTAATCGTCACTTTGGACCTGAACACTTGGTTGATGAATTCTGCCAAAAAATTTCTGTTGAAATCCTGCCTGCCAAAAACACTTAATTGGAACCCCCAAGTAGATATTTAATTGGATTTAAGTTTTCCTGCCTTTACAGGCAGCATTTAGCTCCATTCTTACTGTCATAAACTTGCATGTTGTGTGACATAATATCTTGCATTAGTAAGGCCAATCGCTGTTGTCAATACAGTGACTTTGGTTTCTTTGTCTTCAAGATGCGGACCCGGCGACTGGACTGCAGCAGGAGGAAGAACCAGACTTTTGTAGGCAGGGCTGCATGAAAGAAGATGGGGAGGAGTGAGTATGGTTTCTTTATTAACACGAGACAACACTCCACATGCACACACTTGCACTCACATTTCTCTTTTTTCATTTAACGTTTATTGTAGCCAGCGACATCCTCTTCATATTATATGAATCCAAAATTGCCGCTTTGGACCTTTACACTAAAATTCTCCCTTTCCTCCCCGAAAAACTTTGTATCTTAGCTGGCCGCATTAATTCCTTAGACATCCTCTTCATATTGTATGCATCCCAAATTACCCCCCAAATTGTCATCACTTTAGACCTTTCTTTACACTTACATTCTCCTGCCAAAAAACTTGTCTTATCTTTTGTATTAATTCCACACTAATTTCTTGTTAAGTCCATTTTCCCGCAAAAAAAAAAATTAAATTGGCACCCTCACCTGGTTAATTAATTGGATTAAGTTTTCCCGCCAAAAAACTTAGTATATAGAGCACTCTAACCTTGAACTTGTGCCCCCCTCCCCACACTTCTTCAACCACTCAGAGAATGTTAGTTACACTGTTCTCTAGACTTCTTCGAACATGTAGTCACCACGCTCTTCTACACAAACACTTTGTTGATCGAGTGCAGTTTTTCCACCACTTAGAAATAATCTCCGGCTCTGCTGGTCAGTCAATTGCACTGGTATACTGATGTGTCGAAGCATCAATGTCTCCGAAAAGACATCCCCCGGGGAGTACACTTAGTGCATTGACCGACCAGGAGAGCGAGAGATTATTTCTACGTCTAAGTGGTGGAAAAACTGCACTCAATCAACAAAGTGTTTGTGTAGAAGAGTGTGGTGACTACATGTTTTAAGAAGTCTAGAGAACAGTGTAACTAACATTCTCTGAGGTGGGCAGGAAGAGTAGGGAGGGGGGCACAAGTTTAGAGTGCTCTCTATATACTAAGTTTTTTGGCGGGAAAACATAATCCGATTAATTAACCAGGTGAGGGTGCCAATTTATTTTTTTTTGGTGGGAAAATGGACTGAACAAGGAATTAGTGTGGAATTAATACAAAGATAGACAAAAGTTTTTTGGCAGGAGAATTTAAGTGTAGAGAAAGGTCTAAAGTGACAATTTTGGGGGCAGCGACGACAACAATGTAGAATTTAAGTGTACAGGTCCAAAGCGACAATTTTGGGGGGAAATTTGGGATTCATACAATATGAAGAGGATAACAACGTGGAATTCATGCAGCTGGCTTAGATGCGAAGTTTTTCGGCGGGAGAATTTAAGTGTAAAGGTATGAAGCAACAACTTAGGGGCAATTTGACATCCAACCTTATAAAATTTTGAAATTGAAGTCGCCGGCTACAATAGATGTTACATGAAAAAAGAGAAATGTGAGTGCAAGTGTGTGCATGTGGAGTGTTGTCTCGTGTTAACAAAGAAACCATACTCACACCTCCCCATCTTCTTCATGCAGCCCTTCCTACAAAAGTCTGGTTCTTCCTCAGCTGCAATCCGGTCTTCGGGTCCACAACTTGAAGACAGAGGAACAAAAGTCACTGTACTGACAACAGCAATTGGCTTTACTAAAGCATGGCTTTACTAAAGCATGACATTACATGTATATCACACAACATGCAAGTTTATGATCATAGTTAAGTTGTAGCTGAATGTTGCATTTAAAAGTGACGTGCTGTATTTCAAATAACTGAAAGTGCAGTGTGGAACCAAGTTATACTCAGGAGACACTATAACCTCTTTTGTAGGACTAAGGGACTGTACGATATTTACCGGGGGGGGAGGGCTGGTCGTCTGAGGGGGGAGGACCTAGGTAAAATTTTTTCCAAGATCCCTTTAACTCTACAACGTTTTTATACACTTTCAAAACATGATTAATGTCTGTCCCATACATATCGTAGCGATTTGCCGGTCATTGGAATCGGCAGAATTTTACGTTCCAATAATATCCATCCCTATCATTATAAATGTATTCGCCCAAATCTCCCACAGTCCTCTTCAAAATCTTGCATTTTCGCCAGAATCGGCGAAACTGGACTACACAGCCAAATTACATGGATTAAAGTCGTGTCAATCGCGGCTATCGAAACGATACTGATCAAAAAATGTAGGGAAGGCTTGTCGGAAGATTTTGAAAATTAATTTTCGCCGTTCAACGCACCCTTCCCAGTGGTGTGCGTGCGTCGACAAAGGTGACCCGCTGGTCCCGCCTCGCAACTCACTCAAACTTCTCGGCGTGGATGTCGGACATGTCGATTAATTTGGTATTTTTTTTAAACCAAGGACTATTTTAACATTTATATCTATGTCCCTCCAAAGTTAATTGAAAACAACACGTAACTTGGCAATATTGTTTCCCTGTTTGTAATAAAATTGACGCGGAAGGTAGGTTAGATTTATTTGTGCTGCCAAATTTGCCCCTCAACATGCAAAACATGGGTTGAAATTCAAAATTTTTCCGGGGGGACACTGCCCCCCCCCCCCGCCCAAAAGCCGGGCCTACTCGGGCCTCTAGTGGCGCGTGCGGCGCGATGGCTCGTGCCTTCGGCGCTTCATGCGGGGAAAATTTTCAATCAAAATCTCGTCCTCCCCATACGAAATTTCACTCTCTATGATTCACGCCGGGGGGAGGGCCTAGGAAAACTTTTTTGAGGCGGGGGGAGGGCCTAGGAAAAAATTTTTTGACCTGGGGGGAGGGCCTAGGAAAATTTTTTTTACGCTACCCCCGGACGACCGGACCCCCTCCCCGGTAAATATCGTACAGTCCCTATAATTGTTTGAAGATGTGAAAAGAGTCCAGAAAAGTGTGACATACTGTGTAATTAAAAGCAGTGCAAGCTTTAGTGACTGGACAAGTGGATTATAGGATAGAAATGTATTAGCATGGGTGTGTTGCTGAACAAATAAACTATACTCACAACTGTGCCCGCTGTCTTCATTTCCATCTGCATCTTCAAGTCAACTGGTTTCTCCCAGAACAGACAGCCGACCCTCAGGACACACCTAACAATATGAAAGGATAATAAGTGTGATGGAAAAACATACAATTCAACTATCCCATTGATTGAATAGACTTTGAAGGAGTTAGGCTCCACAAAACTGCTTTAAAACATGTTACAATGTACTTGTAGCATTTTCTTAACATACTAGTACATGTGAGGACAGGAATAAGTCATGTAAGTTGTAAAAGTTGCTTGAATACATGTACAAAAATTTAGGTTTTTAAAAGTGTTTAGTAACAGTTACTGGCAGCATGTTATTCCACAGTTCGTAATACATCCAAGAGGAAAGAAAAATTCAAGTTTTTAAGTATTGTCTCACCTGCATGGACAGGTACAAACTCCAGGACCTGATCTGATCTGGTTTACACAGAAGTCAACCGTCATCACAGGTTTCTCCCAGTCAGGACAGGAACGTCAAGAAACGCATAACTAAGGATGAAAGGATAATTACTGTAGTATGATGCAAAACATCTTAGATAACACTGACTAACCATCAAAGAT